ACAAGAGGGAGACTGGGTTTTTCATTTTAGTTTTTCTTCCATGTATTGATAGACATTTGGATTGTTTCTACTCTTTGGCTATCGTGAATAATGCTGCCATTGCCATTGGTGTACATGTATCGGTTCGCATTTCTCCCTTCAATGCTGCTTTTGGCTATATATTTAGAATTACCATATTATCCAGCAATTCCACTTCTGTGTTTAACTTTCTCAAAAATGCCACTGCACCATTTTACAGAATATTCCCACCAGCAGTGCACAAGAGCTTCAATTTTTCTGCCAATGCATTTTTTTTTTAAATAAAGGCCATTGTAATGGGTATGAAGTGGTATCTCATTGTGATTTTAACAACTCCATTTTGTTAACCAATCACTAGTGATGAGCATCTTTATGCTTATTTGCCATTCATATATCTTCTTCTGAGAAATGCTGTTTAAGTCTTTTGCCTGTTTTTGATTTGGGTTGATTGTTTTTCTATTGTTGAGTTTTAGTAGTTTATACTTGGTAGCTTAATAGTATATACTCTGGATATTAATTCCTTGCCAGATATATGCTTTGTAAATATTTTCTCCTAATTTGGGGGTTGGCTTTTCACTGTGTTGATAATGTGGTTCGATGCGCAGAGGTTTTTAGTTTTGAAGAAGTCCAATTTATCTATTTGTGCTTTTGTTATCTGTGCTCTTGGTATCATGGCTAAGAAATCATTGTCATGAATGTTTACCCTGTTTTCTTATAAGAGTTTTAAAGTTTTACCTCTTATGTTAAGATCTTTGATTCATTTTGAGTTAGTTTTTGTATGTGATGTAAAGCAAGGGGCCATCTTCTTTCTTCACATGAGGATATCCAGTTTTCCCGCACAACTGGTTGAAAAGACTGTCCTCTCCCAATTGAATGATCTTGCCACCCTTGTCAAAAATTATTTGACTATATATGTGAGTGTTTATTTCTGGGCTATCCTATTTCAAACAGATTTTGAATACTAATGAAAGTAAATTAAAATTAAATTGTTGAAATTAAATATAGCTACATTCATAAAATTACAGAGATATTATTTTCCTAGATTACTAGAGGTAGTTATTATGTAGTAATCAACCAAACCAATATTAATATGGTATAATCCATTATCGCAGTGGTGTCATGTGACAGAGAATGTTAGAATATTTGTGATAGCATGAAAGGAAAAATAATGCACATTATTATTTTCAAAGATTATGTCTATACCTCATTGTTGTTCTTGTTAGATAAAAATGTTCTCCATTTTGTTAGCCAGTCACCATAAAAAATTTCTCCATTTTGTATATGAAAATAAATTAGTATTTAAGAGACTTCCAATGGATAATTTTTAGCTGATTCCAAATCAAGATACTACTCTTGAAATATTTTCATATGCTTTTATCATTAATACATTTTTGGAATATGAATACTTAACTAAGAAATTTGTGATATATTTCCAAATATCTCATTTGTATTGCTTCTTGACAAACTTTTGTGGACATGTATGAAACATTTCCACCCATGCTATATTATAAATTATTCCTTCTCCACCCCCCTATTACACATGAATACTCTCTATAACATTATGAAAGACACAGCAAAAGAAACCAATCATGGTTCAGCTGTTCAAGAAACATTTTCCACCCTAGCTCTAGTATAGACTGCCACATTTGCAAAGAAAAAATTCCTTATGACTCTCCCCTTAGGACCTGTATCTTCACCCCAGATTTAAAATCAGTGTGTTTGGGGAAAAGTTACCAGTTAGGAAGTTACTGTTTGATGATGATGAAAGGCCTTAAATATTTTAAGAACAAAAATAAAAGAGTTTTAATCATACCTCTATATGATTTGTTATGAAGGAGTTGACAGAATGAGATAAAAACATCTTGACCTATATGTAAAAATCAGTTTGACATCTTCTGAGGTAAGAGTGATATTGTGATTTATAATAAGAAATATGTATTTAGTCTTCATCTCATTTCAGGCATAGAGCTTCTAATACCATTAGAATTTCCCAAGTGATGAGAGTTATAAAAGTGTCCTGTTATGTGGTGATTTTTCGACCCCACCCAAGGATGGGGGCAGGTTGCTGGGGGACTCCATCATGTGATTAGAGGGTTGGAACCCCTTGGCCTTTGGGGAGAACAAAGAGGCTGGAGATTGAGTTCAATCACCAATGGCCAATTAATTTAATCAATTATGCCTATGTAATAAAGCCTCCATAGAAACCAAAAAGGACTAGGTTTGGAGAACTTCCAGGTTGGGAAACCAGACACTTTCACATGTCACTGTCCACAAGGACAGATGCTCCTTTGTTTGGGACCTCACCCTATGTATGTTTTCATCTGGCTGTTGATTCATATCCTTTAATATCCTTTGTAATAAACCTGTAATCTAGCGAGTGAACGGGTATCCTGCATTCTGTGAGCCGCTCTAGCAAATTAATTGAATGCAAGGAGGGGGTCGTGAGAACCCGATTTATACCCAGGTATCAGAAGCACAGGTAACAATCTGAGGTTGTGATTGTCATCTGAAGTGGAGAGTGGTATTGTGAGCCCGAGCCCTTAATGTGTGGGGTTTGATGCCATCTCCAGGTAGATAGTGTCAAAACTGAACTGTAGGACACATCCTGCCCACCAACACACATTGAAAATTGGTGATCAGACTCTAGTAAGGAAATTGAGAGTATCTGCCACTTTGGTTTTACTTCTAAAATCCTAGTATAAACATAATGAGGATGTTAGAAATGATAGGTAGTATTTTTATCATTATCACTTATCTGCAAACACATGTGCTGCTCTGAACTCCCTCCTTCTGTTATACTTACCTAGTAAAATCCTAATCTTGGTTAAATATAACTATCCATTCCTATAAACCTGCACCCAAGCAGCTGAAGATGGCCAAAGAGCACAATCATGTTGATGGATTTCAACGTAAACATACAGCCTCTGATCTCAGTCACTGCCTGACAATCTCTAGTATATTGGCTCTACTTTCCAAGACAACGTTTACTTACCTCGAGTAATTTATACCTTTCCTAAATGATCTCATACTATTTTGTAGGAAGGTAGGGTACACTGAGTCACAGAGGTTAAGATACCTATTGATGGCAGAGCCAATACTCAAGGAGCCTCAGAGGAAGTGAGTTTCCTAGCAGTGGAGTAGTCAAAGTTCAGTCAGGGATGTTACAGAGATTGAAGTATTCTGCGGGAGATTAGAAAAGATGGCCGTTAAGGCTTCTTCTAAATCCCAGATTCTAGGATTCCATATTGCTTTTTATATTCTATCAAAGTAAATGTCTTGTTGAAACTTCTTCAATCAGTGTTAATTGTCTCTTTAATGTTAAATATTACCCAGTGAACAGATGAACGTTGTAAAATTTTTGCTTGTCTCTTCTTTCTCCTGTCCTTTTAATCCTTCTCTCTCTTCCCAGCACAAAAACACAAACAAAACCCATCTTAACCCTGCATACCAGTCTCTCCTTTCTCTTACC